ACCCCTGGACAAGCATTGAACAAAATGCCAGCTTCAGTCCCAAGTGCTGCTGCCTGGCGAAGAATGACTTTTTCCTAAGGCAGAGCTTACATGCAGCCCACATTTGCACTCGTAAAGGAAACTATTTTAAAAGATGTATTTAAATGGCATCCTGCGAATCTCAGAAAGTTCATATATGGAGAAATCACACTTTGTAAGAACTGAGTTTTCTTAATGCCATCCTTCCAAAGTTGATGCTTGGAAAATCAAGCACTTCATTCTGCTGTTGTAGTTTTTTTCTGTGCTGCTGCCAGGCAGTGTAAGAAAGGGCTCTGCAGTTTTGCAGCCTTCTGAACATATACTGCCCACAAATCCATCTACGTAGGCTCAGCATCTTCCTTCAAGGGTCTATAGAGACCAACCTAAATTGTGGTTCCAAGGTTCATGCTGACCTACAGAATCACAAATTACTAGCACTTTACAGATTGAAATACAAGCAGTCGTGCAGAAAGCGTTGACTTGAATGCAATTGGCTTTACTGCAGTAAAGTCAATTTTTGATAGAGGATATCTGAGAGTTTTGTTTTCCTTTGATCTTTTATGAGAAGCAATCCTGATTGCTCCTTAGATGGAAAAGGGCAGTGTGCCTAGGATGCATCCTGCTACCTGCCAGAATGATAAGCAGTTAATCACAGACAGGATATTTGACATGAGTACGAATACTACTGTACTTCACACAAGAAACCTTAACATAGCTTCCAAGCACTTGGATGGAAAATAAACTTTGCCATCCTCGCTCTATATTTTAAGAAATAAGCAAAACCAGAGGAAGCAGCAACTTGTGTTTTAAAGATTAGGACACAGGTAACAGAAGTGCTGAGCTTTAAGGACACTACGAGTGTGTTTCTTTGTTAGGAAAGAACAATTCTGAACGGAAAAAGCACAGAGCAAAGGGCAGTTATGCCTTATGTCCCAGAGGAACCGCATAGGGCTGAGGGCCATGAGCTGTGCATGAGCCAGCTCCAGAGATGACCAGCCACGGGCAATCGTTTGCACCTGATGCTCAGGGACATGATTTAGCAGAGGGCTGTTAGAGTTAGGGTGGTATGGTTAGCTTGTGGTTGGACTCCATGATCTTTAAGGTCTTTTCCAACCTGAGAATTGATTCTATGATTCTATGGTGGTCTGAAAGAGAGCACTCAAATGGAAAATTCAGGCGAACACATCTTACAAAAAACCATTGGAGGCGTAGTAGCTGCCAGTCTGACATCTCAGTTACAGGTCCCTGTAGCCTGCTGTGGCACGCCTTTGGCACTCCTACAGAATATTGTCATTTTAAAGCACATGGAAAGACTTGCAAACCAGCTGCTGAGGCAATGCGGAGGGCTAGGAGGGGCCTTATCAGATGGAAGGTTCCTTTCTGGAAATGGGCAAAGCTATTCTTAGTTTCCCATCTATCTCGTCCTCTTAAAAGTAGCTGGCAGTTTTAGTGCCCTTTTGCCTCCCATGGACTTTACACTGCTGCATGCACACTCGACTGCTCGTAACGTATCCCAAATTAGGAACAAAGCCCTTAGCTAATGGAAACAAGGCTAGATTGAAAACACAACAAAGAACTGAGCTTTCGTTTAATTTGTAAACTGCACGTGATGTCCTTTAAATGTGCTACTTCCAGTCAACGGAGCATGAGCCGAGACGGCTGCCACCAACAGCCCCTCTGCATTTTGAGTAGAAGAAGACTACGCCGTGGGTGCCTGAGCTGTGAGTCTGCCAGTCAGTACGCTCAGTAGGAAATGCCCTGGATTCAAATTTCCCCTATTCCAAGGATACAGAGCTGTACCCCAGAGAAGTACAGTTGATACCAGACAGGGCTTCTCAACAGTTCTGTTTTCTGCTCCAGCTCCTGCTTAGACTTGAACCTATTCTCTAACCCTGGCCAGATGTATCAGAGATGCAATGTGACTACCAAAGGGAAGGGTTTCACTCTGGCATAGGGATCACATCTTTAAGAACGGCACTAGTTATAGAAGACACTGAGACCCAGGAAAAAAACAAGCAAAGCTTTTACTTGTTTAATTACTTGAGGGTGCATCATTTTTATGCTGCTTCACACCGCTGCCTTGAGAGAAAAATGTTCCTTTAATGCTGCAGCATAGACTTGATTCTTTTCTACCGCCTTGACAGAAAGCCTACAACATCACATGAAGCCTATAGGGTTTGTCTAACAACAAATGGCAGAGCACAGAGCATCTCATGCTTCTAAGAGGCACAAGAGAAAAAACACTGTGGATGTCAAGCAGCTACACAAGCCAATAAGAGGAAGCATCCTGATCACTTAATAATAATGTGAATATTCTTAAGCTTCTTCAGGTGTTTTCTCATTAAGAAGTGAACACTGTACCCACTGATCTGGAATTTGGCATCTTGTGTTTGTCAGTGTAGAGGTGGTTGCAGTCACAGATCTTTCTATCAATGGCTTACAACAAAAAAGCTGAGCATCACAGGTGTCCATCTCACCTTATTCTACCCAGGACACTCTTTACACTCTTTACAATGCAAATGTCAGAAAGCATGCTTTGGTGAATACTTCCTCCCCCCCCCCAAAAAAAACCAACACCAAGGTCTCATTATTTCAAAACATGACCTTTTTCCCTTTCAGAAGGGCTGTGCCTCTAGACGAGCCAGGTGCTGGGTTGGTGGAAGCTGAGGGAAGCTACAGGTTGGAAAAGTTTGCCATTTTTTGCCATGACTCATCAGCAGTTTTGCTGTTACAGGAGAACACTTGTGGCATCGCAGAAGCTGGACAAACATGCTACGGGGAAAGCAGAGAAGACACCTATTTTGCTCCAAACTTTCAGAAGAGAATTAAGGACAGTTGAATACATACCTCTGAAGGTCTCTGCATAGATTGGCCTGCAGAGCTCAGAACCTAAGACTGAGCAAGACTTCCCCTCCAGTTACATCTCGTGGTTGGTACAAACTGAGGATGCAAATGGGAGAGTACAGTCTCTATTGGGTAGGCGTAGTGGATCCAGCACTGCAGCTAAACACAGCAAGCTGCTTAAAAGCTTAAAGGTGGCACAGACGAACAAAACAGGCAGACATTTGTTTCCATTGTAACTGCTAAAAAAAGTCGACTTATACCCTTGCCCTCTTCTTCCCAGTGAAATAAAAATGCAAGAATCCAACAAACTAACGGAAACAAACCAAAATCCCACTGGTCCTTGCAAGGCTTCCAAAGCAGAAAGCTGACAAAACCATACAGAGATCCCACATGACCGACTTCGATCCCTTATGTTCCAAGTCCCTTTATTCCTTTTTCCATTGCCACAGAATTCACACACGTACAGCTCGTTTGGCAGCACAGCTCCCAGGTGCATTGCACAAATGGATGCCTGCGGGTGTGTTCTTCTTGGAATGACACACGTGATAAATTACATTTAAATTTAGAATTGGCAAGTACAAATCCTATGGCTCAGTTTCAAACGCTCTAGGATGTAAAACCAACCAACTTGGCAACAACTTTAACAAATACAAACAGCTTATCTAGGAACTAATATGGTATGCAGGGAACAACTTAAAGACTTCTGTACCATTTATAATTATAAATTGATCAGCCTATGCATTACCAGTATATATGAGCTAAAAAAACTATGTCAGAGAGTACTGTAAGTGTAAGAGTGAACAGCAGCAAATACTAGAATTCAAAAGGAAGTAATTATCTGAAAGCAGTTTATTTGCATTTACTTTTATGATTGTTCAAGCTTGAACAATCCATATTTATTCCATATTTATAGGAAGGAAAAGTGCACAGGTGGTTTCAAGTGGGTAAAAGACTGGGAAGAGCAAAAGAAAAGTAAAAATCCTGCTACACTTTTACCCAGTCCTCTTCTGTTGCAAGGCTTAAGAGTGGCAAACAATAGTGTCTGTATGGAAATAGAACGCTGTGCTGAGCACCTTCCTCCTTGGATTATTAAGTCAAAAAGCCTCAAGCCACATACATTTGTTATGCTCCACTTATCCTGAAACGTAAAAGAGTCATCAGGTTGATTTGAGGGAGTTCTCAGCATGTTTCACAAGCTCTAGTGCTATGAAACTGTTTGATTACATAATACACCAATAGATTAAATAATTTCTGCTCTATTATACCTGTACATCCTAAGTGACATAGTGAACTGAAAGCACTCCACTGCTATTGGCTGGATAGAAGCAGTTGATGCCATTGGATGTAACATTTATTCTCCCAAGCCTACAGGACAGACACAGAAATTTCTAGTTGTGAGTAAGCCAAGTAGAAAAATCGAATGCGTTACAAAGAGCGTCATACTGTTTTTAAATCTCTGTTGACTTGCATAGAATGCTGGAGTTATGTACACAAATCCCCTTCTAAGAAGAAAGTCAGAGTACGTGTTAACTAACAGGCTCATTTCCTGCACAATACAGGTAAGCGCCTGAAGACTGAGACACTGACATCTAGCGGCTGTCATGCAAGATCCAACATTTGGAAACTGCTTTGGGTGAGAAGATGAATACTAACCAACTAGTTGGGCATTTGTGACTTGCCTGCTATCTCCCTACACATAGAAAATTGGTTAATTTTTAAGCCCTGCTTTTTAAAGATCATGCACAACTGAAGTTTTGTCAAGTAGAAGAATGAAGGTAAGCTCTCTGTATGCAGTATGTACATTTGTTCTTGTAGGCTTCACCGCCATACACGAAAGCTGACTGCTTATGTGAAACTAATTTTTAGAGGTTTTTTTTAAAAAGAAGACTTATTTTTTATAAGTTTTTATATCCTCACAATTATGGAATAAGATCATGCAATACTGAAGTTACCTGATGTGATCCAAATAGATATGCTATATAACTTAATGCAAAATCTTCTCCAATTCTTCTGTTTCTATTTATGCAGCTCTGATTACAGCACACGTATCTAATCATACCTGTAAATATTCTTTAGCAACTCCTTGCTTTAACAAACTTTGACAGAAGCTATGGCCACCTCTTTTTGATGAGGTAGTATTTGGAAGAGCCCTGTGTAAAAAGCCTTGTGCTTAAGCATTGGAAGACATTGGGAAGAAGGATATTGACATTTATGCACTTTATAATAGATAGCTACTGAGAGGGGAGAAAAACACATTCAGATCCAATTCGACTAGCCTTGAGATCAGTGATGCTATTTTTTTCCCCCCCTCACATAAACATTACTGAATATACAAAATATCCAAAGACTATCATCATTAATGTGAAGTTTCTTTACTTCTAACTATTTCCAAAGTAGAAGCCAACTACTGAAGCGCCCAGGCGTATGCATGCCTACATTCTAGATGTGTCAGGAACTGCATTCCCAAGTTGTTGAATCTTGCTAGAATTGATGATGTTTCAGGCTACAAGTTATATTCTACCACTCCATTATTTCAAATTAAAAAAATACGTAAAGACTAGCTGAATAATGATATCAAAGGTGAATTATAAAAGCATCTTTGGTTGCACAAAGTCAACTTTAAAATGGTGAACAAAAACCTGAAGTCACAACACAGGATAGAAAAGCAGCTCCTTCTCAGCAATGCATGTGCAAGCACTTCAAGAACACAGTGATGAAGTCAGCCTCAGTGGAAGATAAAAGGCTGGATGTGATCAATCTCTGTAGCTAAGGCTTACAAATATAAATACAAATATAAAACAGCATGTTTTTTACAATTCTCTTTAAGACATCCACAGAGCTAACTTTTATAAAAACACAACATACTGCATAAGTTTTATTTAGGGATTTAATTTATATACCACAAATACTGCCTTTAATATAGGTACAATATAATACAGTTCTCTTTATTTGACTGCTGGTGTTCACTTTGGATCATGAACTCAATGGCATGCTGTGCTGTCAAAACTTCAATAATAAAATGGCCTCTAGTTAAACTTCTCCAAAGTATAAAATCATGCAAAATCTACATCCTATATGATACAACCAGTACAATAATTGAAGCCAATAGCCTGCAATCAGCCTGGACCATCTTCTGAGCTTGTTCACGAAACGTCCACAACTCAACCATCATTTTCGTTAGGCAGAAAGGAAGAATTTCCATTTTGTCTCTGGAATCTCACCATGACCACTGAAACCAGCAACAATGTGCACAGCTATCAGCCAACAAATCTTCATTACCTAATGCAGTTCAGACTGTGCATTTAGTCCACGTTGATGAGTCTGCGGTTAGGAAGTTTTACGCTTTCCTCCTGTGACTACCGGTCGTGCATATTCCACAAAATCATCTATAAGAACAGGCCATGCTCCTAAGGAGAAGGCATGCAGTTCAGAAATTAATTATTATTGGCAATAAGTTGGCATAGTCTCTAAAAAGATTTAAAAAAAAAAAAAAAGACATACAGTTTTGCAGTTTGCAGTATCTCTGTACTGCAATACTGTGACACTTGTACCATAACAGTTTCAGATATTACCTGTAAAGATATTGTCACACCATTATATACCTTTCATCAACATATTATAGCAAGTTTTTAATCTTTAATGTTTTGGCAACAGGTAACATCTTTATCAGTGGCACCGATGATGGAATCAAGTGCACCCTCAGCAAGTTTGCTAATGACACCAAGCTGAGTGGTGCAGCTGACATGGTGGAAGGAAGGGATGCCATTCAGAGGGACCTCAACAGGCTTGAAAGGTGGGCCCAGGTGAACCTGATGAGGTTCAACACAGCAAAGGGCAAGGTTTTGCACTTGGGCCAGAGGAATCCTAGGTATCCATACAGACTGGAAGGAGCAGCCCTTGAGAGCAGCCCTGCGGAGAAGGACTGGGGATTCCTGATGGATGAAAAGCTCAACATGATCCAGCAGTGTGCTCCTGCAGCTTGGAAGGCAAATGGTATCCTGGGCTCCATCAGAAGAGGGGTGGCCAGCAGGGACAGGGAGGTGATTGTGCCTCTCTGCTCCTGTGAGGCCCCATCTGTAGCACTGTGCCAGATCTGGAGCCCCCAGTACAAGAAAGACAAGGAGCTCTTGGAGAGGGTCCAGAAAAGAGTCACAAAGATGATCAGGGGACTGGAGCACCTTCCCTGTGAAGACAGGCTGAGGAAGCTAGGCTTGTTCAGCCTGGAGAAAAGAAGGCTGTGGGGTGACCTCATTGCAGCCTTTCAGTACCTAAAGGGAGCCTACAAACGGGAGGGGAATCAACTCTTTGAAAGAGTACATAATGGGCAGGACAAAGGGAAATGGTTTGAAGTTGAGGGAGGGAAGATTTAGGTTGGATATCGGGGAAGTTCTTCACCAAGATAGTGGTGAGGGGCTGGAACAGGCTGCCCAGAGAGGCTGTGGATGCCCCATCCCTGGAGGTGTTCAAGGCCAGGTTGGATGGGGCCCTGGGCAGCCTGGTCTAGCATTAAATGGGGAGGTTGGTGGCCCTGCATGTAGCAGGGGGGCTGGAGCGTGATGATCCTCGAGGTCCCTTCTAACCCAAACCACTGTATGATTCTATATTCTGTTTTATTTAAAGCAGTATTTCAATAATGTATCAATTTTTGATGATATTCAGACACTGCTTACCTTCTTCATCATAGTTGGACATATCATCTGCAATCATATTTCCAAAGTCTAACAGAAGATTCCAAGTATCTTTTGGAATTGATCTTTTATGATGTTCCTATAAAAGAAGAAGGTTTCTGTTCAATATAATCTATTTGTAAATTGCACAGAAGTATTTTATTTTGACATGCACAAAAACAGGTGGTGTACAATTATTTATTTTAATAAATTGAAACTACAAAATAAACTGCTACTAAGAAAGGTGGAAAAGAAAGAAAGCATGTACTTTGCACTTCCAGTTATGGATCTCATTGCCCAACCACTTCAACTTGAGCCCTTTCATCCTACCTTTACTTAGTCTGTCTTTTCAATACAGTTACAGTTGCACTTGCACCTGCCTTTCTCCTTTCACTCCCAGGCTACGTTCTGGATCCATAATCCCAGCCTTTAGTGAAGTAGCCTTCCAGTACCTCAAGGGGCCTACAGGAAAGCTGGAGAGGGACTTTTTATAAGGGCAGGTAGTGACAGGAGAAGAGGAAATGGCTTTAAACTGGAAGAGGGTAGATTCAGATTAGGTATTAGGAAGGAATTCTTTACTGTGAGGGTGGTGAAACACTGGGACAGGCTGCCAGTGAGACTGTGGATGCTCCCGCCCTGGAAGCATTCAAGGCCAGGCTGGATGGGGCTTTGAACAACCTGGTCTACAGAGTAATGTCCCTGCCTACAGCAAGGGGTTGGAACCAAGTGATCTTAAAAGGTCCCTTTCAATCCAAACCATTCTGTGATGATTCTATTCCTTCACGGTAGCGCCCCATCTGCATTTGCTCCACTTGTTCTATTCTCCATTACCACATCTTTGCCCAATTTCTAGTTTGTTTCCAGCGTGGCCAGTTTGAGCAGCACGCAGACAAGCTTCCGTTCTAGTCAGTGTTCTCTCAGCTTTTAGTCAGCCTTTGCATTCTCTTTCTTTCTTCCTCTCAATCCCCTTCAGAACCTTAACACCTTGCTCCACTTCCCCATACCAGCCCCAACTTGATCAACTGGATCAAGGATCTGGCCATAAGCAACCCTCCCTTCTCTTTCCATCCTTTCTGTTCCACACCACAACCAGCCACACAATTCTGCAGAACAATCTGAGCAAGCTCTGGCACTTTTCTGACCCCCATGAGAAACCTCCTGAGTAGCCCAGAGAAAGAAAAATGCAGTTTTATCTGAATGGTGTTTTCTGCCAGCTTAGCAAAAAGAAACAACTCAAAGGATGGTCAGTGAAGTGCCTCAATTACTCTAAAGGAAAGCAGCAGAAACATATGGTATGGAAGATACCGTGGAGAATCACAACATCTAAGCAATTGTGAGCTGTAGGATCAAGTAATGCAGCAGTATCAACAGATGAAATGAAGTCAGCAGGGGTGATTAACTGGAAATTCAATTTCATTCCTGAAACCTAGATCTGATTTGCAGCAGGAAATTGTAACTGCGTGTAAAAACAGGCTCGGTGGAATGGGTTTTTCTGTATTTTTTAATGCACTAATCATCAGCAGCACTAACAAACTGCCTTTCTAAAAACCCAGAACTTGATCAAAATGAAGTTGACACCCAACACAACAGCAAACCAAGTTTTTTTTTCCAGTCAAGATACAACAAGCAAACATTATCTCCTAGAAAAGGCTCCTTAAAAACAAACAAGCAAACTAAAATATAACACCATAAAGAATCCTTAGCTTGCTGCTATTTAGTTTTTTTGTTTGTTTGTTTTTTTCTCTCCCCCATCCATGCATTTCTTCTTAAGTTTTGGTTCAGGTTAAATGTTTGTAGCAAAATAAGACAGTCTATAACAGAACATTAGTACTGCTAGCTCTGTAGAACTGTTTGTTGTAACAGATTTGATCACACTGAATGGAACTTTTTGCAGATATGTATATATATGTATTTACATGTTTTAAGATCTAAGTGTATTAAGGCAGTTAATATGTAAAATATTTTCATAGATTCTCTCAATGAAATTGATACATATAGTCAATGAAGAAAATATACTGCCCCAAAACGTTAGAAAAATAAATTAGCAATTATTATGAAAAGCATACACTTGAAAAATATAGAAAAAAGTACAGAAGAAACTTTTTATTCTCCTGAACTACTGATAAAAATCAAATTGAAAAGTCCAAATAAATTAAACATTTTTTGCAAGTACATAGAAATGGAACATGGATGAATAGATCACTTCTTTATTAAGAACATTTTGTAATTTCTAAAGTTTAATTTATACATCTTTACTCCACTGCCCACAGAACTGCACTGATAATTCAAAGTTGTCAAGATCAGTTCACAGCTATTACCCAAAGTGAATCAAAATAATTACTCTGAGAAAGAACTTCTGCTAAAAAGTTGCCTCTCAGGTTAAGTCAGTCACAACAGAATTGACTTTAAAAACAAAAAAACAACCAACCAACCACAAAACAGTTTATGCATTAATACCACTAAAGGCAGAGCATGGCACAAATCTGTGGCTAACAGCAATCACAGCTGTCTTGAGAATAAAGACAACATCAGTTCGATCAGCAGTTATGGCCTCATTTCATGCAGAAGTTATTGTAAGTAGGAGGATACAAGATTAAGCCAGTAGAATGCACTATTGCTTTGCTACATCTTTTTTGCTTTCTTCTCCACTGGAAAGTTATATGAAGATGATTTATTTTGGCTTGGTCTAAGACTCTCTTATATCAGCTTACAAAAAGGAGGAACTTTAGAAGGAGGCATTTAGAAAGTCTGTCTCTTTATTGTGAGCACAGTACCACCCACATGAGCCAAACTACTGCGGACTACAACAGTCAGAGATGAAGAGACTGTGTACTTACCAACAAGAATTTATTCCAAAGATCTAGAAATTTAAACCTTCCTGACAAGACTAAATTCCAGTATGCAATTGCCATTTCTAGATCTGCAAGACAGAAAGCAAAACCATCAAACGTTACATTACATTGTAAGCAATAGCTCTGTTACAATTAAACAATGCCACATCCAATACGTTATGATATAAATGAATTATTCTTCTAAAATTTTTAGAGCTGACAGAAGAAAAAGGTGCTTACTGACCCAAAAGGCAGAAAGTGAGAGATGGTGGTAAAAATTGCATATTGAACATTACAGTCCTAAAGATTGAAGTCTTTCCATTATTGCCCAGCAGTGCTGGGTTAAAGATGCAATTAAGCTCCAGCAACAACACACACCCGTTATCAGTAAACCTGTCAACAGACTCAAAGCAAAAAAGAGGCACATATTGACAGCAACCCAAACACTGAAGTTTGCAGGTGCCAATTACTGTACGTTTATCACATTTTAGATATGCATGGCTGGAATGGGATTTTAAAGACAAGAGGGAGTGGAAAAAACTATTTCTCTGGGCCTAATAATATTACAGCAGCCCTTACAGCAATACAATTTTCTTCTTCCAGAATCATTTATCAGAAGAACACCTAGAACCAAAGCTGAAAACTTAAGTCCATAAAGCACATCCTACTCTACACCACAATCTAACAGCAGGGCTCAGTTTATGCATACCACCAGGAGGCTGCAGCACTGCCACATGTTCAAGTGGAAAAGGGGGAGCAATATTAGATGCAGGATAAGGGTAGAAAAAGAATTTCTTGAAGGCTGGTTTCATTCTCAGCAACAATACCTAACAGCTTCTGCTCAGTCTCACAGATAACACTGTCATGGATTCACACGTCATCATGCAACCACAAAAGGCACATCCTTTCTCAAACCACAAAATGCTTTCAATTGGTGCTTTTAGTGTAGGTTAAGTATAAACCAAATATGAAACTTAACAGAAAAGACTATGGTAGTAGCAGATGTAAAGGAAGCCAGGCCTGCCTTTAAGAGGGGAGTGTGGTATTTGGAACTGCGCATGTCTTATGACAAAGCAAAAGCCAGTGTCACCTGGCTTCGTACCTGAAAGAGAAGTTCCAGATTTCAACACAGCTAGTTTTCTAGAGCCTGTTTCATAAGAGAGTGGAGCCCAGACTAAGATGATAGAAATTTTAAATTAATTATTTGTATCTGTTATTCCAAATGAAAAGCGAAAGAAACGGGAAGGGAGAAACTCAAATAATCTTACGAGTTCCTAAACTACACTGTGAAATGTCTGGCTTTGACTCCATTCACTCAGGCTTCATTATGCAGACTCAACTTTTCCAAGCTGATCTTGTAAGCACTGGCAAGCATCAAGCAAAATGTACTTTGAAGAAAAAACAGTTTCATAGCACAAGAGTTTACATACTTCTGATGAAATATTCCTTGAAAAATGGAAGAATGTACAGGCAAAGAAGCAAAGCTAGTCAGAGGTAATACCAAAAAAAAAAAAAAAAGTAAGGAAAGAGGAGGCCATGAACCGATGTGAATCACAGAATGTCCTGGTTGGAAGGGACCTCAAGGATCATGAATCTCCAACCCCCCTGCCACAGGCAGGGCCACCAACCTTGCCATTTAATACTAGACCAGGCTGCCCAGGGCCCCATCCAACCTGGACCTGAACATCTCCAGAGACGGGGCATCCACAACCTCTCTGGGCAGCCTGTTCCAGCACCTCACCACTCACCTGTAAAAAACTTGAAGAGATATTAGAACAAATGGCAATGGTGCTAGTTTAGGCACCAATTTTAAAAGCAGCTGGAAGAAACCAGGCCTTCAGATTCTGTTATAGGATTCAGTTCCTCATCAGGCTGCTGACAGTAGTATCGATAAACTCTAATGCTGAGGAGTTCCTTTATTTGCTACAGTGAGCACAGTTCTATAAAATTAAAGCAGAAACAAATAAGAAAGGGAAAAAAGCCTTCACATAACCACTGGCTGGTTGATGCTGGCAGTGTTCTCTGGGTCCCTCAGGCCCATCCCAGCTCCAGCAGGGCACCCAGAGCAGGGTGCCCAGGGCTGTGGACAGGCAGTGCTGAGATCCCCAGGGAAAAGACCCCACAGCCTCTCTGGCCTCATGCCATGAATTCTGCATCCCACAGAAAGATGCTTTTGCAAGATGGGAATTTCTTATGCAGTCTTAAGAATATGTATCTCAGTGTTGCACAGTTATGAAAGCAACAATTATAAAAGACAAAAAAAAAAATTGTAATTATGCTGGTTTTGTACAAAAAACAGTGTATGAGTTTTAGAATTGGAAATGAAAAGACAGCTGCATGAACCTATGGAAACTAAGATCTAAGCAAGGACCAGAGATACCAAACTAGCGCAACTTGTGGAGAAGGAAAAAGAACATTACTAGTTGGACAGACTGTATCTACTTTCAAGATTTGACCAAATGCCTATTCTGTTCACAAAAATGTTCATGATTAGATTTCTAAATTAAAAAAAATAAAATTAGACCAAGTTCTTTATTCTTTTGCTCTGATTTCAGATATGGGGAATGAAGTCACTGTGCACACGAGTAATCAAGGAAGCAAGAAAACAGATAAATCATCAGATTGCAAGGAAATGATTGGAGAGCAGGATTTATGAGGGACATGAAATTAAGTTCATTTAGACCTGCTGTGCCAAAACAGCACTCTGGAATTGCAGCACTCACTTGTCATCCCTCTGCCAAATAGAGCTTTCCAGCTCTCTCAGACAGCACTACCAACAGAGCTGTTTATGCAGTTATGTTTGAAGCTGTCAGAATACAATAACCAATTCATTTAAATTACTGACATGAGAGGAAAAAATAGGCAGAAAACAAAATAGCTAATTTGGAGGCCAGTATAAAAAAAAGATTTATAAGAATCTTCAATATTAGGCACGGTTGCTCATAAAATCTGTAACTGGCACACTATTTTCTGTGCATTATGATAGTATAATCTACCATGTATGAGAGATTGGAAACAAATCATTATCTTCTTATCAATGTTATAAAGCTTTTCTAGGTTACTCTAGTCATCTTTGTGAAAGACTGAGCAGCCTGTAAAGAGCCCCATGCTCAGTATTCAAAGAGTACTCAACTAACTGCATGGGCAGGACTTTTTGTAATAGGAAGAATCTGGTAGTGTTACCCCACTTTCAGATGCAAAAGAGAAAATTAGCTAAGAATGTAACAAAGGTTGTGGGAGGAAAGAGTTGCTTTTATTAGATAAGGTAATAAAGATTAAAGAACAAATAAGCAAGAAAAAAAACCTGAGGAGTCTGAAATGAAAATTTCAGAGCCAAGAGTTCCTTCGCTTGAGATTTTCTTTCCAAAGAAACCAAATCTTATTCTACAATTCTGAAAACAAGAGTATCCAAGAAGCTCTAATTTTTTATGCTATGTTAGGTACAGTAATCTGGACAAAAGCAAGACAAATCTATTTCATCATTCAACTGCCTATAATAAATATTATATTAAACCTTTATGAGAGACTGAACTTCATCATGTAATTTGCCTTAAGAGATCATTGGGTTAATATCTTTGATCTCTTTCCTCATGTTTCCTTACTGTGGTCACAGGAAAAAAAAACAACAAAAAAAACCCCATATCTACAAAGCTAAAACAAAACCTACATTGCACAAATAATTATTTTCTTTCAATAAAATTCCTGGGCGCTGTGTAAAAAAAAAAAAAAATACAAAAAAAAAACCCAAACCAACTGGTGCATAGGTAGAAATGGTGGAAACAAGTGTGAATCTAAAGAACTAAACTATCATACTATCCTCACCAAAAAACCATCAGATGAATATTTGCAAGATTCAGTGAGTTACTTGATTCCTTGCCTCTGAACGATTTTAAGTCTTCTTGGGACTCCAAATTACTGATGTGGACACAAAAATAGTTTATTTCCTAATCATAGCATTTTTCTTTTATAAACAAGTAAAATCTACATAGAATAGCAAGAAAACACCATTAGGAATCAACCTGGAAACCCCTCAGCAAACTGTCAAATGTTTAGAGCAAAACAACCTTTATCTATAATTAGGAGCACTCTCATAGAAGAAAGAGAGGAGTATGAAGCAAACACTGGAATTGGCTTAACTCAGGATCCAGCTGAGTTGTAGCCGTTTATCTCTGGCAAAACCATTATCCAGGAGCTCCCCAGTGCTGTGCTTGAGGACACAATGCACAGCATCAGAATTAAGTCTCTGGTGGACGGGGAGGCATGGTGAATCACAGTATGTGGACTTCAGAAGATCTCTGCAGAAATCAGAGGGTCTGGCTGCTTATTAACTCTATCTCAGTATCAGCCATGCTGAAGCAGACTGATTCCATGAGGAACCCTTCGTGCTCAACTCGAGCATCAATTGTACAAAAGCAGATAAACTGCTTCTAAATGTGAGCCAGGCTTAGAAGAAGATAACTATCGAAATGTCAGTTTGAGTGCAGGATAATAAATCTGATTATAGCCAGTCTTACCAGCCTTCTGTCTTTCCAAATCTCTCCACGTGCAGTTCAAACAATCAATAAGTGATGACTTAAAGTTGTCTGGATATACATATCCTAATTAAGAGCCAAACCTGAGTAAAATAATCAACAAGGCATTACTAGAACTGGAAGTTACACCTCATCTTTGGTGCCACTATAAGCCTTTTTTATCAGAGCACCATGTCCTATACTGAATTTCTCTTAAATAGCAGGTGTTGTCAGAATGAAAAACAAACAAAAATAGAACAAAGACCATACAGACAGACCAAGGCTATTCAAACACCTAAAATACAGTATTCGCAGACCTCTTCCAAAATAAACATGAAATTAATTTGTTGAATTCCCTCAGTTTCTTCATCTACTCGCTCTTACAAGCACTCTACAAATGGATCAATCTAATTCTTCATAGAAAGTGAAGGAAACGTTGATAACTAGCAAGAAAGAAAATGATATCCTCGTCTAACGGCTAAGCTTCTCTAAAGACTCTCAAACTTGAGATAATGCTATGATGAAAGCTAAAGATGACGCTGCTTCAATTAAAAAGAGCACATTATACTCATCTGCTC